CACTTTTTGAATAATCTGTTTTTGTATATCACTCCTTAATTGATTGTGCTTAAAAGCTACATATCTTGATCAATTTTATCTGATCATTGTGTTTCATAGCAATAATATTTTTGATCAAATGTTTGTGATCATTTGAGCATACTGATATGTTGATCCCAGATCTCTCAATAACACTAATAATCAAGTTAAGAATAACCAAATTATAGTGTTTAGATGAATAAAATGATGAACACTCAAGAACAATGTATGAACATTCAAAGAATAATCTTGAGTGCCAAAGATTTCACTTTATTCAATAATAATGTAAAAACGTAAAGCGTCTCAAAATTATAATAGGCCTAACCACCTATTTATACTAGTAAGCTAATAAGAAGATAACTAACGAGTGAGACTATTTAGCTAATCTTCTACTAACAGATAAAGCTTATCTATAATAGAGATAAACATTAAAACAAGATAAATTTTGTAGAATTCAGCTGTTGATTGGTCATCTCCAGCTGTCTTCCATTGGATATAAGTTCAACCTTATCTTCATATCTTCATTGCTTGCCTCTGGTTGAACTGGTGAAGGAAACTCCAAGTGTTAGTATCCAGAGGGGTTATGGAGATGCACTTTCCATCGTATCTCTGGTCAGTTCATCGACCCTCTGGATGATCTTCAGACTTAGTCATTTTTCCATGAAGTCTTCCATCGGCCTTCTGGTTCTTCATCACTTGTTTATCTTCATTACTTCATACATAATACTTAAGGGGTCTAACATGATATATTTAGGAGGGACTGAGTGCTTCACAGAAATACCTCTATGGAATGTCATAACCGATAAACCTACCCAAGAGGACAACCATATCTGAGTGAGCTTAAACTCAAAAAGGGTTTGTGTGCTGAGCTTAAAATGAAAAGGAGAGGGGTAGTTGTTGTGAGCCAAAAGAATTGATGAGAGTTATGTCAGGATTAAAAGATTACAAGAATCTTGTTCTAAACTTCAAAATACCGGGCATACCACGTAATCTATTAGTTCTCCATTCTTTGGAGACTAATGTTGAAAGCCCAAGCCAATTCTTGTCACAACCCCACCAACTACTCATTTATCTCTCAACAGATAAGTGTTTCAATAACACTTGGGGCACGCAACTCACAATCTATCAATTTCTCATTCAGAGAAAGTTGATATTGAAACAGAAGGATATATGTCCCCCCCCTTCAAGTCTTTTTGATCACATATTAAGTCAGATGAATTTGTGTAGTCCACACGGTTTATCTTTTTGAGCCTAAACAGAAGCATATGTTGCTTTATCTTTCTACACTACACAGATTTTGCAAATTATATGTTATTTTGCCGTAACATTCATAGATATGTTATTATTAAGCTATCGATGATTGAATGGAAGACCTGGTGAGATGAACCTCATAAAGTCTCATATATGAAGTACATCCATTGTACTGAATATATCTGTTATATTCACAGGCCAATCTTTTTATAAGATTGAAAAGCAACTTCATAAGTTGAAATTGGTTGTTATTTTCCCATTCCCTTAATCTGAAAAGATTATACAAGTGGATTTGAAAAGATCTACTTACAACTTTATGAATTGACGGATCTTGCTGAAAATTTCATTCATTCTGTTGTATGATGCTAATGATTCTCATTTCATCATAAGGGGGAGTATGAAATAGTGAATGAAATGATCAATTCTGGATGATATAAGGGGAGTATGATATAAAAATCAAGAGGGAGTAACATCAAAGGGATTATGTGATAAAGATTGAGAATTGGCAAAAGACTCAAAGGAGTGTGACTGAAGATTATTCCTATGCTACAGTGTTTGAGAGTTTTTGAATGTGAAGATTTTCTTTACAAAAGTTTACTGATAGAGATTTCTCAACGAAGAGAATGTTTAATTTTGAGGGAGAATGTTTGTGAATTTTTATCTGAAGAAATTCGTTTATAAGGAGAATGTTTGTAATCTGTTATCTGAAGAAATTCTTTGAAGATCATATCTTGAAGATCATTTCTGAAGATTGTTGTTGATATTTTTTTTCATTGTCAAAGGAGAAGATCGTTTCTGTTCTAAATTCGAGGGGGGAATGGTAGAAGATTTTCTCAACAAAAGATCGTCTGAAGATCTCAAAGTAAAGATTGTTTTTGAAGTTTTCAAGAAGTGATAAATAGATTAAAGTGAAAAGTTCAAACGAGATTCAAAGTGCGCAAATTCTTTCAAGCCTGAATACAAAGGGGGAGAATGTTAGGACTGAATTCAATGTTAAATTGTATTCGTCTTTAAAGTTTATAAATGTCTATAATTGTCTATAATTGTATAGATAGTGTGTTTGACTTTCCTAGTCATGTTGACTTTGACTAGAAGGGTTTATAGTTTGACTCTATATATACATTTGTCTTCTAGTGTAATTAGTAGATGAGCTTTATTGTAATAATACGTTCAGATTGAGAGTTTTATAAGAGCTTTGACTTGTTGACTTTTCCTTTCATCTCCTTCTTTCCATAACTCAAAAGGTACAATAATATATGATAAAGTCATACCATTGTAAGGAAAGAAGATATAAGTTATACCTGCCTGTTTATTTCAATAAGCTTTAAAAGAAGATCCAACACGTAAATCTTTAACCTAATCCCAAACAAATACATGAAAACTCAAACAAAAATAACTAATAACTCACAATATATAAAAAAAACCCAAAATTCAATCAATAAAGTTATGTACTTATTGAGCCTGAGAAATTTTGAGATAAACAGGTATGTAAAGAAAATCGAGAAGTGACAAAATCAAGATGAAGAGATTAGGGAATACATAACTTCAAATCAAGCAAATCCTAAGCGATGGTGGAAGAGAACCCTAACCGTAATAGATGAGCTATGGAGAACCGAATAAGGAGTAAATGGAGATGGAAGCAAGAATCGAATAGAACCCTAGCCGTGGTTTTGAATTATGAATCATCTCATTGGACATTGAATTGTCGTCTTAGGGAAGATCAATTTGTGAATCGTCATCTTGGACCATGAGAACGCATGACTGGAGGAGCAATCTTGGAAAGATAAGTTCTGAATTTGACTTTGGCATTCATATCTCGTACATGAAGTTTATAATGTTCTAATCAAGAGATTTTAAGACTTATACATAAATTAACCATGCATAGTGTAATAAAATTGTTTTTAAGACTTTGTCGTATATACTTTACTAGGTTCGATCCCGTGTATTACACGGAGTAATTTGAAAAAATTAAATCATGTAAGAAACTTATCTTACATAGATGAATAATCATCGAAAGTATGATGCTACTTCAGACTTGTACTCTTGAAATGATTCTGAAGAATAAAATAAAGTTAACCCTAAAATAAAATTGAACTTAAAAATGAAACTATATCAGTAATTTGAATTTAAACTTAGCAGTAAATTTAGAACAACTCTTCAGACTTGTACTTTTGAAATAATTCTTAAGTATAACTCTGAAGAATGACTTCAGACTTGGACTTGTACTCTTGAAATAACTCTGAAGTAAAACTCTTCAGACTTCAGAGCTCTGTATAATCAAGAAAAATCAACTTTTGTCGACGTCCGACACAAATCCGTCACTGAATTTTAAAATAAATAAAATTTTATTTTTACAACTTTTTCCCCAACGGATTTGTAATGAATTTTTTTACTTATTTAATACTGTCACAAATCCGTCGGAAATCTGTCACAAAATTGGTCTAATTTATTTAAATAAATTAATTAGCGTTAATTAATTAAAATTTACGACCGATTTTAATTGATTTTTATATTTAATTATACTCCGTCGGAAATGTTTAAGAAAACTTTTTTTTTTATTCTTTTCCCTTTCAAAAAAATATGTTTAAGAAAAAATCCGACGGATTGTAATTTTCTAATAAAAAAATTATATTCCGTCGGAATTTATTTAAAAAAATATATGTTTTATAAGAAAAAATAAAAAACTTCTTTAATAAATTCCGACGAAATATAATTTTTTATTAAAAAATTATTATTCGTCGGAAATTTTGAACTTCTTTTAAATATATATTTTTGGAAAGAAAAAAATATAAATAAAACTTCTTTGAATATTACCGACAGATTTCAGACGAAATTTGCATTTAGCAACGGGAATTTTTCCGACGTCAATATCCGTTGGATAGTTGTTTTTCTTACGGATTTTGCCGTTGAAAAAACCACATTTTTTAGTAGTGATCAATCAAATGGGTATAATTGAACTGTTAATGTAAATTGTGTCTAGATACGTTCAAATGAGTCTAATTAAACCACTAAGGGTGCGTTTGGTGCGTGGAACAGGATGAGACAGGACGGGACAGGACACATTTGTCCCATGTTTGGTGTGTTATTAAGTAGAACTAACTGAAACTAACTTGAACAAGAATGCCCTAGAACTAAGTAGAACAAGGATTTTTTTTACTAATCTACCCTCACATGCGTCCTTCCCCGTTCATCCCACCCTACCTCTCCTTCATCAATCGGCGACCGGCTCCGTTCATCTCATCTCGACGGCGAGTTCCGACTGTTGCTTGCTGGCTCCGTTCATCCCATCGACGACGACCGATTGTTGCTTGCCGGCTCCGTTCATCCCATCGACGACGACCGACTGTTGCTTGCCGGCTCCGTTCATCCCATCGACGACGATCGACTGTTGCTTGCCGGCGAGTTCCAATCGACGGCGACCATCTCATCAAGGTACGTATTTAGACCTCATCGAGGCTCCGTTCATCCCATCCCACCCTAATGTAAATTGTGTCTAGGTACGTATTTAGACGGGAAAACAAGAAAACTGCTTCACCAGAAGATGACACATATCACTCAAGTTACTTATTTATTATAAACATAGATAAGGTAGTGTAGATAATTGGTACACAAAAATAATATTCAAAACCAAGATCTCTATTTTTGAATGTATTTATCCTAAAAAGAATAAGTTTATTAACAAAAGCCATTTTAACAACGCAAGAACCACTACATATCCACCCTAACTCGTCAGACCACCTTCAGGAAACGTTTTCGATTTCCGGCCAAAGCTTCCACCTTCTCGTCCTTTGTTTCTCCAATCGTCAATAACTTGTAGCCGGCCAAATCGCATCACGGAGCGCTTCAATCTCTGTCGACCATGCTGCGGAGGTACAATCACATATCCTATTGACTCCTTGCCATGCGTCAATGGTTCATATATAGTTAAATTTCTTATTCAATATCAGTCTAGGGTTTTCTTGTGGATTTATATATGTTCTTGATTATTTTCAGAAGCTGCAAGTGCTACAGAATTAGGGTTTAGTGCTCTTAATTGACCTGCATTTGTTATTTTTCCCCTTGATTTTGAGGGTTCCTTGGTTTTCATTCAAACGGAAGTGGGGTGTCGTATTTTTGATGTCAAAGCCAGTGGTTTTTGAAATCTGAACAAACCAGCACCAATGTTGAATTTTGTTGTACTTTCAAGTTCATCTAAAACAGAGGGAATAATATCTAGTTCGAATTTTCAATTTACTAGTGTTGCTTATCTTCTGAAGGTCCATATTGGAAATATCTTATCGTCGGTCGGTGGGAAGGATTTCACCGCGAACAACTCCTCAGGCATGTTTTGTGAACCTTATGATGTATCCATCTTTATATAAAAATGATTCACTAACTGAACCACATTATTGAATTTTATGGGAAACACTGATCAAGAAGCATATGCGGTAAGCCTATCTATAATGAATGAATACATTTCCTGCAGACTTGCTGCTTTGTATCTATGCATTTCTATTACTGATGATTTGCGGATAATACATTGAGGCCTACCTGTTAATCAGATTGTGATGACTATAGGATAAGCAAGTCAGCTTAGGTTACATATATACAAGTTCTAGAGGTGCAATTGAGGAATACTAGTAAGACTCACTAACTTAGCATGGCCAGATGGGTATGTGAAAGAGAAGGTGACCAAGTTTGTGGAATGTAGGTTGTTGATAGCAGTAAAATAAGAGTACAACCTGTATACAGATAGGATTTGGTAGGGGTGAGGCGGCTTATACCATGACCTTGCTTGTCTCAAGAAAGCTGAAACTATTTCATCGACTTTTGGATCTTGATGGTGCATAGGAGTAAGAGTTTTGCTCAAGGGAGATGACTAGTAGAGGTTCAATCATGTGGATAGCTGGTGGCTTGTACGCTACTTACTGGACTTAGTCTAATAAACCTTAATAAAGTTCTAATGTTAGGTTTTCTAGATTACATACATAATCTGGTTTTTCTTTGACCATTATTTATTATTTCTTATGCTTTTATGTTCTGTACTTAATGTGTAATTTATGTGTATATGTATATTTGGTAACAAGCAAGACTGCTAGAAACTAATTTATTTTTTGTTTGTTTAAAATTTGAAAGTACTAGTAAGAGCTTGTAATGCTTCAATGTATATTGGTCGAAAATTTGTTGTTAATATCGTTCTTTCTTCATGGCTAAAACATTTGTAGCAGATACCTTTGTATCTTTTTTCTAGGAAGGAATTCTCTGTTGCACCTCAGTCAAATTCATCCAAGCCATCAGGTTCAACAGGAAAACCACCAGACTCTGGAAGCAATTTGTCCAAAGTTTTTATAGGAAGTTTAGCCATAGGTGCTGCTGCCCTAACAGCTTACCAGACCGGCTACTTAGAAACATTTCTCACCAAAGAACAAAATAATGATCTCAATACGCATGAAATCCCCATTGTCCATGAAGAACCTCAACAGCCAAAGACTGTTAATGGAGATTTGCATGATGGTGAAACTGTAGAACCAGTTGCTGTTCAAAATGTTCAAGAGTCTGAGGTTTCAAATCCAACTGTTGAGCATGGTGAAAAAAACATTCATATTGATCCATACTATAGCAGAAGGGAAGAAGAAGCTCAGTCTGAATTAAAGGAATTACCAATATCAAAACCCCATGATGCTATTTCTGAGCAGGAGAGTAAGTTGCCTAGCTTGGACCATAGCATCTCAACTGCTCATGATTCAAGTTTTGATTCAATACCATTGATTCAAGAGGATCTTGGCACAAAAAACCAAGACGTGAAGCCTACTATAGAACGCCACGAGGGAGTTCAAATCACCTCAATACCGACTCAGGTTGCTCCAGTTATTGAAGAAAATATGATCAAGTCTGAGCAGCCTCAGCAGCTAGGCACTATAAATATGCCGGAGGTCTGCTCTTTTTTACGTAGTGGTTATAGAACAAAAATTCTATTTGCAGCTAGTTTATTGGCAGTTTTTTGCAGCGTATCCTCAGCAATGATGTCAAAGAGCCAAATTCCCTTCTTGATGCATACCTTTTAAGAGGTAAGGCCGAACAAACTGCTGCAGCTTCTTCATATCTACATAAGGTTAGATACCAAACAATATCTCTACAAGGAAGCTTAATTTCATTTGTTGCTCTTGTCTTTAGTGAAAGTGTCTAATTGTATGTGATGTCAAATTGAAGGATATAGCTGAGACTGTGAAAGGTACTAACGACGTTTACGTGTCAAAGGATGGAAAAGTAGTTCTGGATTTATTGGAAGCTATTCACACAGCTGAAAGAAGGCAGGTGGATTTGGATGCACGTTTTTTTTCTGAAGAGAAGAAGTTGATGAAGGCAAGACTATTTATCTTTAATATTAAAAATGTAAACATTGTGATATCACTTTGTTGTTTTCTTTGTCTCTTCCTACTAGTGTTCCATTCAGTTTTATGGCTGATCAACTTTTGAAATTGAAATTGGACTAAAATATTTTAGGAGAAATATGAAAAGGAGCTAAAAGATGCAAGAGCCCGGGAGCTCATGTATGCTGAAAGGGAGACAATTTTGGATAAGGTTGTATAAAATGTTATCCTTCTACTTTTTCTGTTCATGCGATTATTTTCTTGCATGTGGTAGGTAAGCTTCTAGTTTTTGCCATTGGGTGATCAATTCTTCATTAGTTTAATGAACAGGTACTATGTATATACTATTTATGCTGAACCTATTTCTGATACATATTTCATTAGTTTGTTCTATAGTGACATCAATTCTTGTGCACTATAATCTACATATTAAGTTGAACAGCTCTGGATTGCCTAGATGTTCTTCTTTTGAGGTCAAGTAATTTAAAAGCATCTGCTCAAGCATTGATAGCAGGTCATCGCCAGAGAGGAATGCTTGGACTTTTAATGTTTCTTTTGGTTAACTGCTTTGTAATTAGCATGCTAATTTCTAGCCCTTTTTACAACCTTTTCTTATCTTGATTGTTTTACTTTTCTCATCCATTGCATCTTTCTATCACTTGCTTTGGATCGCATCTTGGAAACCTATAGGTTCACAATTAGCAGAAAAGCAAAACAGTGAATCTATTTGACTGTAGCTTCTGATAATTGTTCGTACAAGAAATGCATGGTTCAGTTATTGTGTTCACTCTTCTTTTCAGATAGAAAACTAATATGAGCCTAATCAGTTATCCATATCTTACCCCAGAAACTAAACACACGCACACACACACACACACACCATACACAAGTTAACTCTAGTATCTACCTGATACATCTCTTTTAAAAAGGTGATATCAATTTACGTGTGATTAGCTTCTAAATTGCTAAATTCATTTGTAGGAGTTACATAAAGAAAAGCTAAAAGCAGCTGCTGCTCTCAAGTCACTTCAGGAAATGTTAGAAGAGGAGTTCAGAATGGAGATCGAAAGGAAGGTGTGTTGTGTTTATTTAAAACATACTTCCATGATGTAAAACATCAAAATAGCAGTTATTAAGCTTGCTAATCTCTAAACTTTCAGGAATCTGAAACAGAATTTGAGCTGAACAAATTAAAGGATTTAGCAAAAGCAGAATTGACTGCAGGAATTGCAAGTGAGAAGGCTTCGCAAATTGAAAGGATGGAGGAGGCAAATCTCAATGTATGATATCATTCAAATTTAATTTAGTTGCATATTGTTTTTGAGCTGGCACTATCTTGTGACGGAAATTTGGAGACAAATGGATTTTCAGTCAATATTAATTCTTTTTTTTGGATATCTCTGATAGCATTTGGTATGGAATTTAACTATTCAAAGACAAGTCACTCAAAATGATTTCTCTTACAATCTCTAACTTTCGAGAGGTTGGAACTCCCCAAAATCTGTTACATAACTCACATGCCCTACAACCATCATCAACACCTATATTTATGCTTCTCTGCCACCGACTCAACCTTCCTACACCGACGTCTAACTACTTTCCATCCAGAAAAGACAAAACTGACTTATTTTCTTCTCCTTGAATACTTAAAACGAATCTTAGTCCTATTATTACCTGCCTGCCATACATCCACCTTGTCCCACCAAGGTGGAAGCTAGGGAACCTCTCATCAATTATTGTGAACTTTTCCCATGACGCCTCAAAGATTGGCAATCTTTTCCATTGAATGAGGACTTCCAACTCTCCGTTGTTTCGACACTGCAACACCCCTTCTGTCTCAACCACCAATTACATATCCTCATAGTTGTGGTGGAACGACCTACGATGAATGACACAACCCAATATTCCTTCGTAATTGTGACACATGGAACACTAGGTGAATCTTAGTTGTTGCCGGTAGTTTAAGCTTGTAAGCTACTTCTCCTACTTTGGATAGCACCTCGAACGGCACATTAAACGTCGCTACTAGCTCGTCGTTCTGTTTGTCACCGTCACGTAAAGAGTTTTGCTAGATATGACCTCAACTTCAAGAAGTCTTTGTCCCCCACCACAAATTGAACATCCTTTCAACGCCTATCTGCTTTTGCTTCATTTCTGTTGAGTTCGAATCAAATGCAATTGAAGCTCATCCAACATATTTTCCCGCTCCAACAACATCTCATGAACCGCTTGTATACTTGAGGACTCCTATTTATACTTCAAAATAGTTGGAGGCTCACGTCCCTACAATGCTTTAAGTGGCGAGCATTTAATTGAACTATGAAATGTAGTATTGTACCAATACTCGACCTATCGCAACCATCTTTTCCACTGTTTGGGATTTTTGGACACAAAACAAAGTAAGTATTGCTCCACACACCGATTCACCACTTTCTACTGTGGATGGTAAGCCGTTGAAAAACATAGCTTTGTCCCTTGCAAATGGAAAACCTCTTTCCAGAAGGTACTAAGGAAGACCTTGTTTCGATATGTAATCACTGATTTTGGCACTCCATCATCGAACTACTTCCTTGGTGAATGTCGCAGCCACTTGTTTAACATCAAAAGGATGTCCAACACCATAAAATGAGCAAACTTACTCAAACGGTCTACTGTTACAAAGATTGTGTCCATTCCCTCCGATCTCGGTAACCCCTCAACGAAATCCATAGTTACCTCATCCCACACGTACAATGGTAAAGCAATTGGTTGCAACACTCCTGCAGGTGGCCCCCCAATATTTTGTTTCTTTGACATATTGTACAACTCTGAACAAACTCCCTAATATCCGACTTCATTCCCACCCAAAACAACTCAGCTGCCACCCTTTGAAATGTTTTCTCTTCACCCGAATGTCCTCCCATCGGCGAGCTATGAAATTCCTCTAATAAAATTGGTATCAATGACGATCATCGTGATTAGACCACTTGATCCTTATACCACAAAAGCTCGTGCTTGACCGCAAACCCTTTATGGGTCACCCTTTCCAGTTGCAATGTTACTTGGTATTTTTCCCAACAACTCATCTTCACCCACTTCATGCCTATTCACGTTCTATTACCGCCATTGGGCCCCCCATGACTGAACATTCACATTTTTGCCGAGATAAAGCATCTGTAGCCATGTTATTCTTTCCTGCCTTTTACACAATGTAAAAATCATATCCCATCAACTTAACCACCCATTTATGATACGGAGACTCTATCAATCTTTGATCTGTCCGGACCATAAACTTTCTTCCCAAAACATAAGGTCTCCACTTTAGGATTGCAAAGACTATGGCCATCAACTTCTAAGAATTTGGTTTATGTCGAGCTTGCACGCCTAATACTTGGCTATGAAACGCAATCGGTCGTTCAGTTTGCATCAAGACAGCCTCTATCCCGCTACCAGAAGCATCTGTCTCGATGACAAATGGTTTACTAAAGTACGGTAGAGTCGACACAGGAGCCTCAATTAAAGCTCTCTTCAACGTTTCAAAAGCTACAGTTGCCCCCTCAATTTATACGAGCTTGTTTCTTTTCAACAAATCTGTTAATGACCTTGCTATCTTACCATACCCTGTGATGAAATTTCGATAATACTCTGTAAGCGCCAAAAATCCTCTTAATTGAGTTATTGACCCGGGTTTTGGCTACTTCAACATTGCATCCACTTTCGTACGGTCCAAGGTCACACCCTCCTTCGAAATCACATACCCAAGATATCCTAAATTCACTTTTTCTGAACTCACACTTCTTTTTATTTGCAAACAATCGATGCTTCAACAAACTTTGAAATACCACCTTCAAAAACACCTCACGATTTTCTTCCGACTTGCTTATGCCAAAATATAATAAAAAAACACTAGGACGAACTTCCTAAAAAATGACCAGAACACGTCATTCTTCAACAACTGGAAAGTTGCGGGCTCGTTAGTAATGCCGAAAGGCATTGCCAAGAATTCATAATGCCCTTTATGAGTTCGGAATGTTGTCTTGGAAACATCCTCCTTTTGCATCTGTATTTGGTGATACCTGGATCGCAAATCCAACTTGGAAAAATAACTTGCCGAAGGCAACTCGTCTAACAATTCATCAATGATTGGGACTGGGAACTTATCCGGGACCGTTCCCTTATTCGAAGCCCGATAATCGATACAAACATGCCAACTACCATCTTTTTTCTTAACCAATAATACCGGGCTAGAGAACGCACTTTCACTATGTTGAATGATCCCGACTTCAAGCATTTTCTCCGCCTCTTCCTTTTGGTATTAAGGGTACCGATAGGGTAGGATATTTACCGGTTATGTTTCCTTCTTTAGTGTAATCCTATGCTCCTTTCTCCTTTCCGGAGGTAACCCGTGCGGGCATTGAAAAACTTCCTCAAACGAATCTAGTGTACCACCCTTTCAATCACTTCGGAGCACTGCCCTTGTTTGATTGTCCCCATTTCTACTTGACCCAATTCTACCAAAACTCCTGTCCCTTTTGTTAAAGTGTCTTGATCATTGCTTTTAATGAGACCAATGATCTTCCTAAAGCCATATCCCCCTTTAATTTTACATATTTTCCTTTCGTCAGAAATTTCATTGTTTGCAATTGCCAATTCACTTGCATAGAACCTAGTGATGCAAGCCTTTGTGTACCGAAAATAACATCGGAATTTCCCCCACACAAGGGTAAAAAATCTCCCCTTGCTTCTAATCCTTGCTAGTTGCATCCAAATCACCACTCCTCTACACACCTCGGCCATTACCGCTTCCCCTGCTCCCATCGAGATCTTGTACTCCTCGGTCGGAAATATATCCAGCCCCGTTTTCTTTAACAACCCCAATGAAATGAAGTCATGAGACACCCCGCTATCAATCAACACGACCACCTTTTTGTTCCCGAACCATCCCTTCCATTTTCATCGTCTTCGGTGTCGAGAATCCCACCACCGAGTTTTAAGGACACTTTCGCTTTGTCTGGCAACATATTTGCGAATTCAGCAGCCTGTTTTCGACAATGTCTTCCTCATCTTCTAAACCGTTTTCGTTTTGTCGCACCACAATTACATTCAATTATTTTCTCTTGCAACGATGTTTGGGGGAGTATTTTCGTCACACTTATAGCATAGCCCTTCTTGTCGGCATTGTTGCAACTCTTTATTGGACAATCTTTGAAAATCCCCACCTTAGGCACCATTACCCCCTTGCACTCCCTGGAACAAACTTCTCATCTTCCAACACTTCAGATGACCTTTTGTTCCACCCCACCGCCTTCGAGTTTACGACTCGATTCATCGTTTTATTCTTTTCGTCTACCATGGACGCAACCTCCATGGCTTCTTTATTCAGCTCCATCGGTGCTAACAATCGTACCTCTGATATAATTTTTGGCTTCAATCCATTAATAAAATGGCTGACATAAACTTCTTTCAGAATTCCATTTAATGGCGCATGAAACAAATTTTCTTTTATATTCAGCCACTAGGCTGCTTGTTTGACTGACAAAAATTGCTCAAGGTAATGAACCTTTAGCGGTGGTGTGAAATTGCAGTAATAATAATCTCTTTGATTCCTTCCACATCACAATATGTCGTCGTTTGTTATCCCATTGAACCACTGCAGAGCATCTCCTTCACAAGCAATTACAACCACCTCCAAACTTTCTTCAATTGTCAATCTATTCAACAAGCAATACTGATCTTTCCTAAGATCTAACCCTCTGGATCGGTTCCGTCAAAAATAGGCATCTCCAATCGACGTTTTTTGATGGCAAAGAACAGAACGAAATAGTCCTGTGCTCACCGCTTCTGCCTCGTCGATCTTTGATTTCTTGCGTTTCATCGCTTGTCCGATCTCCTTGCACTCTCCTTCTACATACACAACATTGTGGCCATCTGTTGTATCATCGTTTGCTTATTTTTTTCTACGGATAATATCCTTGCCTGAAATGTCTCCAATTTGATTCAACCTTCCTACACCGACATCTAACTACTTTCCATCGAGAAAAGACCGAACTGCCCTTATTTCCTTCTCCTTGAATACGTAATACGGATCTTATGCTTATCAATCTCCAATTAAGTAGTTTACTGTATTGTGAAATCGCCATTAGTATAGAAGATTGACCGTTTACCACTAAACTGTAGAAGATTGGCAATCTGTTATGTTCATACATAATCAACATTCATTGTTTGCATTATTCTTCTGATTGTTGATTTAGCATTTTGATTTTTCAATTATCCCCACCTCCCAACCAAAAAAAAGGTTGTTTTTATCCTTCGATATTTTTTAGGCTTGAAAAGTGGCAACAAAAACCTTAGTCATGGTATACTTTGGATTCCGCCGGTTGGTGGTTATCAAATTCTCAACTTGACTCAACATTCATGCACCAAATACAAGTATGAGCACCCATTCTACATAATTTGTATTGTGCACACCACAACCATTATTTTGCTTAAGATGTCACCATTTTCATCAAATGAGCATTCTTTGTTGGTTGTTTTATACCTTCAACATTAGTTTTAACATATTGATAATTCATTTTCCCCTTATTGATCAATCATGCTTGTATTGGAGATGAAATGTGAACTTGAATAAACTTGTTAAGAGAGAAGGTACACTGGTATATAGATAAGATGTTTATAGTTTTAGCCATGAATAGGTTGATGCATTTTATGTCAGTTGGCTTTTTTGGAACGACATTTAATGTTATTTTATTTTTATTATGTAGATAAATGCTCTATGTATGGCCTTCTACGCAAGATCTGAAGAGGCACGTCAGAGTCATTCTGTTCACAAGCTTGCACTGGTATGTTTTCCTAAAGCATTTTCCCTACTACCTCAGCATATTTGTTTTATGGAAAGTTGTAAATAGGGTTATGTATCTTCATTGATTATTGTTATGAAAATCTATGCGTAGGGGACGATTAAGCTTTTTCCGAGGAGTTATGCTTCCCTTTACTGCTTCGATCAAGTGAAGATGTTTAATCAATAACTATCCCACCACGTCCATTTTTAAACTAATTGTTGAATTAAGTGTTCAAAAATAGTAGCAAAGGGATTAGTCAACTTTTTTTCAACTTGTGTTTATCAATCAACTTTTCTCAACTAGCAAGTTAGCCTTCTGATCCTTTATGAGTAATTGTAGTACCAAACAATTCTAGACTAATTATTTAGAAAAGTAATAATACCCTTGGTTTAAAAATGCGCGCATAATGTGCTTCGATGCGCTGGAGGTAACGCATCAGAAGGGCTGATGCAAAGCGATTCCATGATGCTCTTTGATGCGGTCGCATCACCTATGCATCACACGATGCGTGCTTCAACGCATCCTGTATGTTTCATGTTTGGGCTTCTTTTTCATTCTTTAGAGGTTTTTAGTTGGGCTTTTTGTAGACATGGTCTATGTGAAATTCCATCATGCCTTGCAACGTCGATATAAAAAAGAGGGAAGTAGTGATCCTATCATTCTAGAAGACAGATGAAAGTAATGAGTGGTTGATGGGGAGGATGGACAATGATGATGAAGATGATGATTTGGTGTTTATTGATGATGATCTTACGTGGGATGACGTAGGTAGAGCTTCTGGGGCGTATGAGACTCTTCATTTCACTAGAGCATCAAGAGGGAGAGTAAATGATGATGGGTCGGGTCCATCAAGAACTAGAAGTGCTAGAGGAAAAGGACATGCTCTTCAGGATGAAGATGATGAAGTTGAGGTGGAAGCAGATATTGGAGGGTTTGATAATGACGAGGGAGATGAACCCATGTTGGGGTTTCATGATGCTGATCTTGGGGTTGGTCACTTGGTCATTTAGTTTAGGGATTGGGGACTATTAGACATTTACTTGTGTTCTTCATGGTAGTAGTTTGTGTGTTTTGTTATTCTGATTCACGAACTTTTTAAGATTCTAATGCCACTTTTTGAACTACTTTATGTTATAAATGAAGTATTTTTAAGGTAAAAATTGATATGTAGAATTAATTTATAAGTATTTTTTGAATATCGGGCGCATCACGTGCGTGATCGAGCCCTTACCGCCTCGGACGGCATCTCGCTTTTTAAAACCAAGATTATACCAAATTGCGGTTATTATTGAATTCTTAACTCTATATGTTCACATAATCTGATAATAATAATAACAACAACAATAATTATTATTTATTATAATATTTTGTAAGTAATTAATGAAACTTTTATCTTTCTTTTCATGAGAAAGGATCACAATATCAAACGCTACTCAAGTTGGAACAGAGATGTTAAACGTACCCAACTTGTTACAAGTAAAATTTATTTGGGCTTTTCGTAATGGATTTGTGAGAATATCTGCATGCTGGTACTCGGTTATGATGCGTACTAGATGGATTGATGGGGAGAACCTAACCTGAAGAGTCATTAATTTTCCCATGGAAAGTGGCACCGTGGGATCAACATCAATGTGCTTGATGCTCTTATGGAATACTTGATTATTGTCTATATGAATAGTTGACTCGTTATCACAATACAACTTCATCATTTCATTTGTAATTTCTCCAAACTCTCATAGAAATCTCCTTGCTCATCTCATTTTGCATGATATATTGGCAATGGATTCATACAGTGATTTGTCACTTGATTGGGACTGGGAGACAGCTGTTTGTTGCTTTTTCAAGCAACTAGATTTTCTTTGACGAAGACAAATACCCTGTAGTTGATTTATGGGAAAAAAGACAACCAACCCAATCTGGATTAGAGAGACTAGATATCTTGCCACCTCCATTTTCGGTGAAACACCGATGGTAGGGGCCTCGATTTGAATAGAGTATCTCTTAGCCTAGTGTGTGGCCTTGAGATACCTCAAAACATTAAGTGTTGCATCCCAATAACTTGTGTAGGGAGCATTCATGAATTGGCTCAGGGAAACTATTCGGATATGATAATGGTTTCACTCGTAGATGTTACTGAAGAAGAATCTATAGTTTGAATACATTTTTATTGTGATCCATGACCTGATTAGAGAAGGAACACGAACAACATCAAATATCGATTATAGTATATGCATATCGAGGTTTCAGTATTTTAGAAAGCTTTATGATATCAGTATGTGTGGGAATCTTTGGGGTGCTTTTGGTCAATTTGAAGAGTTCATGGCTGAACATGTAAATGTATGTATATTAATAAAAGCAGGTGAAGAGAACCTTATTTGCATGAACAAATCAGTTCGCTTCTTTGTAACAGGACATATTGGTTCATCTCCTCATAGAGGAGAAACCTCAACACTTCACCACCGCCATGCAACTATCAATGGTAGTTCCTCTTTTATTTTATTCACCTTTTCTCAATGTGCTGCTCTATCACAATTGGTATTCATTTCTTCATCCATGAACTTTAAACAAAAGAATTATTCTCATTATTAGCCTTGGCGTGATAGGCATCAGAATACATCAAAAGTTGATCCAACACAGCAAGAGTAGGCTAGTGGTGAGAGTATATTTTCAAGGCAAAGTTTGTAAGTAAAGAAGGTGAAAATTCCAATGAAGTAGCAGATGAAGAGGGTAAAGGAGGAGGTACTCTTTGTCTGTTGCTTGCTTTTGTTGAAGAGGAATCTTCTAAAAGCGGGCACGAGCTAGGTCTCTTTTTTTGGTAGAGTTACTCAAGCATGTTGAGTGGAGGGGCTATCTAGATTTATTCTTTAGAGGCAGAAAATCAGGTTTGAGATCGAGATGTATTATACGAGTAACAAGATGGATTGAGATCGGTATGTATGTATAAGTAACACGACATATGATGCTCTGACTCGTGTCAATGCTTTTTATGCAGACTGCCTCTTTTTTGCTTGTTCTTGTTTTTGAGGCAGATCTGGGCTGGTCTTGCTTTGACACAATAAAGTTCTAAAAGGCAAATTAGTATTGTCACAAAAAAGAAATTAACGTGGCCTTAGTCAAGTGTTTATCACAAAGGCTAAGGTGCTTCTTAGAACTGAAATCTATTGGTTTGGGAAAAAGACAAAAAGAGTGAATATAAGGTACCCATATCATATTAACCACAAAATGATATGCATTTGATCTTTTCCTAAACATTGCCTGGAATTTTTTCATAATACTATCTCCAGTTCTAACAACTTGCTTCTATTGAAGTTATGGACCTTGTCTTATTAAATGACACTTTTATTGGCTGATATGCCTATATATGGATGAATCATTCTTTGTAACAAATATCATACAAGTTGGTAGCATATGGCTTGTCGCTATTGGACTTTATTAATATGCTCATGACTAGGTTAGGATTTGTAGCAATCACCTTTCGGTTAAACTAATATTGCAATAACTAACCCTAGGTTTTGGTAATTATGGAAACTTCTATAATCGACATTTCTATAATTAATGGTGATATGGCAATCATAGCTTTAAACAAAAATATTGCATACGTGCATGCATGCAAACTGTATAATTGTTGTTGGGGGAAAGGCAGTACTAAGGCCAGAAATCGGAAAATGTTAGCTCATATGGGAAGTGCGAGGAGTTAACGACCGAACATGCTGCAACCTAGGGATCACCAGGCAACTCTTTCGCTCTAGGGGATGCTCACTTTGATACCGTCAAGAATTAGTTAGGCCTTGGTTAGTTTCCTATCCATTTCCTGGAGATCCATGTTTTAAAGAACAAAATCTAGCATCTGCTATCAGTTCGTTGGAACTTTTTGGGTATCGTTTACTCTTTTGTGAGAACCATCCTTGGAGGGGGAGGGGGATGGGGATGGGAAGGGGGTGATAACGACTGGGTTTCATGAATAGAGAATAAACTTCATACATTTTTTTCACCAAAGCTTGTATTGTTGCTTTAAGCTTTACATGAGTGCTAATTGCGGTAGCTGAGTCGAAGGTAAAGGTCAACGAGAAGTTGGAGCAGTGGATGGGTGGCCTTGGAGACATAAGGCTTGTGTATTAGTCACTCTAAGACATAATGCATATCTTGCAATTTCAGCGAGCGGCACATTGCCGGGGGAATAGAAGTCAACTTTAGCTTCTTTTTTGGGGGGGGTCGAATTAAACCGCAGGGGGGGGTTCTGGGCGGAGGTACATCAAAAGGACAATTTCAAGTATTTATTTTCCATGATTCAAACAGAAGAGGTCGAGGACGACGTACCATGTCGCATAACGACATGGTGCTAAAGGGGAAATATGCCATAACGGTGTTTGCATAATGGCATGCTTTTTATAGGGTTGCCATTAGACCAACTATCTTGTATGTGTCGTACCATTGGGCGACAAGGAAGACCCATGAGAGTAAGTTAGAACTTGCAGAAAAGAAGATGCTTAGATGGATTCGTGGTCTGGTCGGACCATGTTAGAGTCAGGAGTTCCGCCTATCATTGAAAAACTGACAGAGGGAAGATCACAATGGTCTGGATGCATTTGCAGGAGACTGATGGCTGCACCAGTGAGGAAAGTAGAAAGCGTGATTGTCGAGGGGGCGAGGAGGAGGGACAATCTAATGAGGATGTGGGATAAGCAACCAAAGGAGGACATGGTGGCTTAGACATTTCCAAGGACATGACCATTGATAGGAGTCCTTGGAGATACAGGACTAGGGTAGTAGACTAGGTGCAAGGAATTGTAGCTAGTGTGGAGGGAAAGAAGGAAGTTGGGCTTGAGGTGGGACAAGTGGAGGGTTAGGGAGCTGACAGATAGGGTAAAAGAGTCCTATGGTATATGGATGAACGTGTGATTTTCTTTTTGCAATGTTTCTATGTTTCGATGTCTTTCTTTTTGTTTTCTGCTGCATACTATTTTGCTAAGCCTTGGTTCTTCTTTCCTTTGCTCACATTTTTGCACAAGCCAGGGTCTTTGGAAATATCTCTACCCTTTGGGGTAGAGGACATGTCTGCCTACGTCCACTTGGGTTGGTTTGTGAGTGCTACTTGCACATCAACTTGTGTGCGGTTGTTGTGATATGTATATATATTATATTGTTTGGGCTACTACAATTAACACCGTAACTTCGTAGGTATTGTTTGGCTAAACTTTCATGTTTGTCTTTTCTTTTATGTTTTCTGAAAAGTTAAAACTGAGGGTGAATTGGTGTTTGACAAATGTTCATTCAAAAAACTAAAATGTGTTTATATATTTTTGGTAACCGTGGTATTTGGGCCAGCTTACACGCACTGACGAATGGCCTGGAGTTGTTGCAGGTGTTCCATGGCCACAAGGGCCTTGGCAGCCTTGCATAATCCGGGGAAGATAAGAATCTCACTATATCCCCTTCCCGAGCCTTAACCTGTGCGCCACAACCCAAGTTTGTAGAATTCTGTAGACATTGGTTATGAATTGTTACTAGTTTTTGATGGTTTCATGGTATATAAAATGGGTTTATGTAAAAAACAAGTGTTTGTTTGGGGTTTCAAACACAATGAAACCTGATTCTATTTTTTAATATTTTTTCAGAAATGAAATAGTCTTGGCAAATTTATTTAATTTCATTATCATACAAAACTCACAATGGCATTTACATTATGCAAACTTAACAAAACAACCTGAGTGTTCTGTTATTTGTATCATTCTATGACATAATGGAATTTGTACCACTGTTATAACTATGATATCTGTTATGCTTTACTTTTTTGACTTATTCTGAAAATAAACTGTCTATAATACTCCATCTAGTAGATATGGGGTTAACCATAGGTGATACATAAGCAGATTACTCATAATGCAATTTATCTTTGGGTGGTTCCTAGGTCATACATAAATCACAGTGAAGCACTTATGGTTTTGACTTTTGAGTATATATACTGTTCACAATGCAAGTTAAGCATAATTTATATGATCTGGATTTGAATGATAGGGAGTGGGAAGAAGGTTAATCATTCTACTACACTCGGGCTTTTATCTGTCCTTATCCTCAAGCATCTTACTATGTTTTTGTTGAAGTATATAAATATTTGTATACGACAAATAACTCATGCACACCATAGTTGTTAAAAGCAGGTGCGCCTAGGCTCTGAGGCTCATAAGGCTCAAGGTCTTGGGCTATTTTCAAGTCGAGGCTAGGCGTATTCATGAGGATCGCTAAGGCGCTGCTTCTTGGCTGAGGCGCGTTATGGGCCTAGGCACGCCTTATAAAGAGTGTTACTAAGTACCTAGTCAAACCCTATTATTAAATAAGTTTTCTCATCTCCTCATCTCCTAGACTTCTTAAAAAAAGAGTTATTAAATAGATGGAACAAGTCGAACACGAATATCAAATCCTCAGTCCTTAGAACTTCAAGCCTCCTTCTCTATAAATACCCAAACCTTAAAACTTCACCCTCACGGCTCACACCTTAAACCCTTCTCCCTTCTTGTCTCTGTTGAAATACTGCTGGTTGCTGCATTGGAGGTTTGTGCTTGCTGCATATTTGAGTTGTGTGTAACTGTGTGTGTATATTGATAAGATGCGCCTTGGATTCCTGAGGCCCGCGTCTCATGCCTCCGCCTTGGGCCTAGGCCCTTGGACCCCTCTGCGCCTTTAACAACTTTGACGCACTCCTCACCTTTGGTAAGGTTTGAACCCTTGACCTCCTGAAAAGGCTGGGCTCTACCGGTAACTTGGATACTGCTGGGTCAATGACCCTTTGGTACCAGCTTAATGTTCTCTGCACATCTTTTTCATGTTTCGTATCTTTATACTTAGGGATCTCTGCATGAGGAATCTGACTCGTAATGCGTTACCAGCCTATTCCATCTACATAATCTTGTTCCCAAGTGATTAATTTTGCTTAACTTTTTCTATGTGTTGTGTTGGTGATACAATGTGAGGTGCTTGCAGCTTTGAAGATGCTCACTAGTTAAAAGTGCAATCTCATTAGTCACCTCAACACTCTCTTTCACTTAACAGCAATCAATTTTTGTTTTTTTTGCAGGGTGCTCTTGCACTGGAAGATGCTCTGTCTAAAGGGTTGCCTATACAGAAAGAAATAGATGCTCTTAACAGCTACATTGATGGAATTGATAAAGACTCACTATTAGGTTTGGTCATGGCGTCCCTTCCTGAAGATACTCTGAAAAATGGGACGGATACCATATTGCAGTTGAATCACAAGGTAAGCCTTTCGAGGGTTCGATATATATACTATGTAGACCATAATTCAAATTATGTGGTTTTAAAGATCCATTGTTTTGTAATTGCCTCATTATTTAAATATCTCTCAGGTGTGCTTCATTATTTAGCTCGTAAGTCGTAACGTATGGTTCTCCTGATTCTTGTTATAATTGACGAGTTATAAGTGATTATACTGCCTTTTTTTGGTTGTCATATTGAATAAATATATTCCGGCAAAAACATATTTTTATTTTGATAATCGGCTTAGTGTCACTCCTATATTACCTTTTTTTGACGAAAATAGTTTAAGGTTGCAGCTTTGATGGCTCATTTCTCTATCCTTAGTTAGTTATAAAAGATGATTGTGCCATGACCATAGCCTTCAACTTGATACAAGAGTTCTTCTGATAAACTAACCTCATCCCAGCTATTTTCATTGCCAACCTCATCTCTATCGGCCACAGCAAAAACAAAATTTTGATAAATCAGTATGTTCAATATCTCAGCAACATATACTTTGACCCCAGCTTCAGTTATTTAACACACCATACCAGCCACAAACTGCAAATACACCCTCAGCATCATTGTAACAGCAGTTGCTAGGCCACCAGCATTAAACCAAAAATCAACCTGCAGCATCAGCTTCAGTCCATTTGAGCCATGGATGCCTCTTCAAAATCCATATCATGTCGCCATCAAGAAATGAAACAGCAGCATAATATTTCAAACTTCTTATCGGCAGCACAACTGAAGTAAATGAGCAATTGAATCAAATTGATATTGAGCACGTTGGTCGTAACAGCAGCCCAAACCTGTGATCCTTCTTCTAACAGCAACATAAAACCAATAGCAAATCAACACAGCAGCTCTATATTGAATTGAGCATCTGGATGGGCTAGAGTGAGGTAGTTGGGTGAAAGAATTGTGGAAGATTTAGAGTCTTAACATGAGGAATCTGGAATTTAGGTGCCGTTTACCAAACGCTTACCAAGTCACATTACTTTACCGGATGAATATGGCTAGGACTAAGAATCTTACCCGGTAAGAGCGAAGGGAAGAATCGAGAGCTTTACCCGGTAAGTGAGGGCGACGGCTCTTACCATGGTTAGTGCTTGCCGGGATAAATTGTTGCATACGGTGCGTTTTGATGAATAAAATCTTACTTGGTAAGTAAATTATAATGTTGAATTTTACCGGTAAGTGCTTACCGAGTATGTTTTTAGGTAAACGGTCCCTTAGTAATTTTACCAATCTTGTCTAATCTCCCTAATGTTTGTTCCACCTATTCCAATGGGACAAATAAAGTGTGTTTTTGTCACACAGTCCCGTCTTGTCTGGGTATAATGTCCCACCAAACTGTGGGACATCAAGTTTTTTATTCTGTCATGTCCGTCTTGTCTCACGTACCAAACACATCCTCACAGAACCACAAACCAGTTACTCAGTTAGTATTTGGGTTTGGGATGGACTTCTGGGGTACTAAATCGGTTTTGGTTGTACTTATCAGCTATATTGGTCTAATCTTGGTTATTTTTCTAGTTTGATGGATTGAAAGGGACTCTCCGACACTTCAGCCTAATGCCTCCAGGTGGTGGTGGCATTTTGGCGCATTCTTTGGCTTATATTGCATCTAATTTAAAGGTTTGGATTACCTCTGAATTTTCTAAAATTTCTCCATATGATCGCTACTGCTAACAATAATCATGATTAAATTTTCAGGTGAAGGAAGCTGACAAATCTGGTGATGGGATTGAGTCGTTAATAAATCGAGTGGAGAGCTTGTTAGCTGATGGGAAACTTTTGGAAGCCGCAGAAACACTTGAAGACGGTCTAAAAGGCAGCCAGGCTGCAGAAGTTGTGGGTGATTGGGTCCAACAAGCAAGGAATCGGGCTATCACTGAGCAAGCCCTCACTCTCCTTCAGTCTTATGCTACATCCGTAAGCCTTAGTTAAATCGCCATACATAGAGCACCCTTTAGCTTACACATATTCGGCCATCTTTGTGAATAAAGGGGATGGATTTTCCACCATCTTGGTAGCCCCAATATATTTCAACTTTCTGGGGTTTTACTTGGGAGTTATTGAGCTGAAAACCACTTTGGTTGGGGAATATTTTTGCCAATAAACTTGCTTTCATGCTTTGAATTGCTAGAAAATAGATGAGCCAAGTTACTACTATACTGACTTGTACTTGTAATGAAAGTTGCACATTGCATTGCTCTTATAGTTGCTTCTACTTCGGACCGGAGAAAGGTTTGCATCCTTTTGATTTTGTTCTGAGAAATGGGCAAGGATGAGTCTTTTTGAAATCAGTAGATTTTAATGAATAAAAGTATAACTTTTTATTTTATTTTGAGTGATTAAGTCATTGGATCATTTTTTTAACAAATGAATCATTGGACTTTCTAAAATCGATCAAATACATCCTTTTTCTATAAATGGGTTTTTTTAGTTTAAAAATAATTATTCTAAAACATCCTTTTTTGGCCGACTTATGGAATGTTTAGGGGAGGTGTGGCACGAAAGAGAATCAATCGTCATTTAGCATCGCAATCCAATGTGAAGATTAGTGGTTTTATGTGGGTTCATGGGTTAAAGACATTTGAATAACCCAATCTAATGTTTGCAGTTTGAAAATTTTCAACTCAATCCAAACCGTGCGAGATGGTTGGTAGGGTTGAAACTTTGGTATATCATTTTACAATCTAACTAATCATTTGTTTTTAAAATAAGTAAATCAAAATCAGAACATGCAAAAAGACTAACAAACTAACAAAACTAAAGTTGAAGGTTCATACAAATAAGAAAGTAAAATTACGATTGCAATTGAATATATACTAATTATGGGTTGGTCTAATGCTTAATGTACATGTATTAATCAACAATTTAACAATTTATAATATAAAAAGACATCCCATTCATCGATCTTTGAGCACCAATGGTTAAAATGTTGGAACTCTCCACCCATCAATTTACATCAAACAAACAAATATCCTACCTTTGTATAGTTGTACCAAAACAAATATTGATTTTAAGCTTTTTAACTGTGTCATAGAATTTTGGAATGATTGTTGTAACTGTTTTGTATCATGATTTAGCGTTTAAATTTAGATGAATCTAAATAGAATTTAGTTTTGAATCTGACTTTTATATTTGTGTTTGATTTTGTTGTGTTGGAATATGAGGAAGGGTGGTTTGAGATGGTGGCCGGAAAAGGTGGGCCTCCCATGATAGAGTTGCAGGGGGTTTTATTTTATTTTTCAACGCTCTATGAATTTGTACATGTTTTAGAAACTTGTAAATTATTTTGTTTTAATAAAATGAAGGCAAAAGGACTACTTTGAAGGCCAAAAGTAACTACTTAACGGGTTTAACATGAATCAACCTGTTTAGAAAAATTGGCGCAAGATTTATCATTCAGAGCTGAAAGGTCTATTGGGTTTTCTCCCGACTTCTCCCATAAAAAAATAACAAACTTTAGTTTTTAAACTTGTAAAAACCACGATGATCAAAATTTTATCATTTGTATATTGATTTACTATTTTTATTCTTTTGAATCAAGTATAGAGATTGGCAAACCGGTTAACCAGTCAGACCATTCCGGTATCAACTTTCGATAGTCTCAAAAGGTACGACCTCGAGCTATCTATAAGATAAAAATCTTTAATTGACTGTAACCGATGGAACCGGTCCATTGTTGGGTATTTGGTTTATCCCACATAGAGCAAATCTCAAATTTTCAAGTGCCTTATATTACCAAGGTCATAACTAGTGTTAAATTGCCTAACTATCTAGTTGAGTCCAATACATATTAAATATCAAGAGGGTCTTGGTTAAATTGCCTAACTGGTGTTAAATTGCTTAACTATCTAGTTGGGTCCAATCGATTTATGCATTAACATAATATGTGTGATACTCATTGTCTACACTTACTACAAACACGTGGCTAGTTCAAGACTTCTTGTCACCATCCACAAAGTAGGTCCAATGAGTATTCACTACGTTAGGTTCAAGTCACTTAGACACCTCTTCCGATGCATGTCATGTTTGATTTTCTGATATAGAACGATAAGACCTTCAAAATGACTTATTTTCTATTCAAATATGGAGTATTATTGGCGTTTGAATAAAAAATGTGGGGTATTGTTGGGTATTTGGTTTGTCCCACATAGACCAAATCTCAAATTTTCAAGGGCCTTATATTACCAAGGCCATAACTAGTGTTAAATTGTCTAACTACCTAGTTGGGTCCAATACATATTAGAGGGCCTTGGTCCTTGATAACATTAGCGAGTTTGGCCTGGTGATGGGAAACAAGGTGCGGCAGGGGCTCGGCTCTTCCAACAGTTATCGTCGGTTACACCCAACAGTTAAGGTATGCGATATATAACTCGTCCAATTCACATTTCTTTTGGCAGACATAAGGAAAAATTCCTGAGTTTTTGCCTCTCTGGTTCTAATCGATTTCATATGGAAGAATAATCGATTCGTCAGGTTCAAGTTTGTTTCTTAAAATTGTTGTATCCTCTAGATAGACGTCCAATTCACCATACACCAGACGAATATCTGTCTAAGGACACTGTCACCGCAGGCCTCAATCGATTCACATCAAGATAATCAAGTTAGTGATCAAATTCTTACTCAGTTCATTGTTGTTTTTGTTGATCTTCTCTCTCATTGATTTGATGATAATCCCTTTTACCTTTTACGAAGTATTATGTTTATGTTCTTTCAGTTCCAGCGATCATCATTGAGTCTGTTCAGTGATCATTGAAACATGTATTGTAAATCCTACAGCGACAGCGATACTTCAAGAAGGCAAAACTCACACCAAAGAACCTTCAGTGAAATTCGAAGACTGAGACTGAAGATTAGTGACTAGCGCGTTCGTGATCTGAAGCGACATTCAGTGATTACAACCTAGTCAACATATGTGTGAAGATTGCCCAAGCCTCAGCAAATACTGAAGAGACCTTCAGTGTTATTCCAGCATTCAACGATCAAATGAAGCTTGTTGTGCAAGATTGTTTTTGTCTTGTCCTTCCACACTCAGAGGACAAACCCATATTCTAGAGTGTAGTACGGTACTGAGCCGACTAGTTGACTCTATTACCCACTAACTCCATGAAAGGATGTCTGCTCATGAATAAGCATTTGTACTATTCACTGTAGCAAATGACAAGCTTTTCCTTAAAAGTTTGACGCGTGTTCAAACCCTACCGAATTGCATTAAATGTGCATTTAATGCAATGGGTATAAATAGATGAGTGCTCTCTCCATGCAGAGTACTACGTATGTGAAAGAATATACACACATCCAAGAACACTTACGCTTATCTTCAAGAAAGTTAGAATCCCCCTCAAGTATTCTACAAGTTCTACCCAAGAAGAATATCTTTTCTTCTTTATCTTTCATCAAAACTTTTCTATTTTGCTAAGAATATCTATGTGTAAACTTAGATTGTTTTAGATATGTTATCTTTACCTTGTCTATTTCCGCATACAATCTATAAAAATCTGTACCGATCTTTCTTTATCAATATATATTTTTAAATTTGAAAGTTTTCTGTGTTTGTATTCATCCCCCCCTTCTACAAACTATTTCTCTAAAACTCTTGTAGACCCTACCGGGACCAACAAGTGGTATCAGAGCAGTGTTTTCTTCTCTTATTGGTTAGTTGTTTTTCTGCATTTTATTATCTCTCTTTCTAGATAATTTTACTGCTTTATAATGGCTTTGCAAAACACGAGCACAAACTTTCACGACAATGGCTCCCTTGGCAAACCTCCCCGGTTTATTAGAGATAACTTTAGTCTTTGGAAGAATCAGATGTCCCTATTTCTGGAAGGTGTGGATCCTGAAATTCCACACTATATAGTAAATGGACCATATGTTCCATATGCTATATCTCCGGCTGTTCTCGAAACAGCTATGACTGCCGCGATTCCTGAACGGCAGATTGCTAAGCTCCCTCATCAATGGAGTGAAGAAGACAAGAAGAAGATAACTATATATACTCGTGCTATATCTATAATATCTGTCTCTTTCTGACGAGGTCTATCACTCAGTGATGAAGCTTAGAACCTCGAAATATATGTAGGACACTCTTTGTGTTCAATATGAAGGAACCTCTCAGGTCCAAGAATCGAGGAAGATAAACTTAGTAAGACAATATGAAAGCTTTCTCTGTGGAAAGACTGAAACGTTGTTTGAAGTACATCAAAGGTTTAATTGTGTTCTAATTGATTTAAGGAAAGTTGGCAGAGAATATTCCAACTCTGAAACTTTAACAAAGTTTATGGGTTTATCAGAATCTTGGGATACTTATGCCATGTGTCTCAAGATGTCCAACGACATGTCCTCTCTCTCTCTTAACACTTTATATGGGATACTGCTCAATCATGAGCAGTCTCGACAACTAAAGAGGAATCTAATCAAGGATTCTAGAAACATGAAAAGCCTCCGCTAGCTTTGATCTCTGAAGATTCTTTAGTTGAACTCCCATCTTCTTCTTCAGTTATTCCTTCTTCTGTTTCCATAACGGAGTTAGACCCTACTAAATCTGAGGATTTGTCAGAGTCTGACCTTGAAGACTTTGATGAATCACTGGTGCTTCTAACTAAGTCGTTTAGAAGGGTCGCCAAAAAAAGTAATTTCCACAGATCTCTCACGCTGACCATTAAGGAAAAGCCAACGTCAGATACTATTTACAAGGCTTAAGCGGTCTACTACAATTGTCACCGTAAAGGTCACTTTGCAGGTGAATGCATGTCAAAGAAGGCTGTGATGCCATCTTCGAAAACCCCTTCCTCCATCAGATCTGAAGATGACAAATACCTGAAGCTGAAGGAGAAATATAAGAAGATGAAGAGTTCCCAGCAAAAGGCCAAAGGTCTTGTCGCTGAAGAGCATGACTGGGCTGATTTGTTTGATGAATTATCCTCTGACGAGGAAGAGACGGTCTATCTTTGCTTAATGGCCAAGGATGTCAAAGAAGAAATATATGAGACGTCAACTTCCCATGATCCCTCATCATCCTCTTCTGCTCAGGTATGTCTCTTGAATGAACCCTCTTCTTCTAGCCTATCAACGTTATATATGTTGACGGTGGACCTTTACAATGCACTGAATGACAAATCTAAAGCAGAAATGCTTAATCTTCAAAAACAGTTGAAGATTTGTCATTCTAAGATCAAAGAATTGACTAAGATCAAAGAAGATCT